TATTTCCATTTGTACATCTATAATAACAAAAAATAATAATTAATCATATACATNAGATATGAACTTTATATTATAATATATGTAACGGATCGGATCGAATATTTGGTTTTTCTAAATTGATATTTGTGATTTGTTTTGTTTTTTACGGATACTTAAATTTAGTATTTACTTTACTTTGAAATTTTACGGATATCCGGATTTTTTGGTTCGGATCAGAACGGATAGCGAATCGAATTGAATCTAACGGATTTTTTGCCCACCCCAAGGTTGGACGACTAGTTATACGTTTACGTAAAAATATAATTTCTCTCTCACTTAACCACTTTTCGCTTTTGGTTAGTTATAGTTTGGTTTTGGCAAAAATTCAGTTAAGAAACCATTAAAAACAAAAAAAATTGCAGGTTCATAAAAAAAGGTATACTTACTAAAAAAAACATTCAAATGTTGGATAATTATCAAAACAATTTTTAAAGAAAAGAAATATTTTCAAAAATGTTTAAAAGACAATAAAGCCTTACTAAAAATTTTAAATGACTAAACTGCCATTATGAATTATAACAAAAATACAAAAACATTTACGTTTGGGGCTTCATCGAGAGGCTCACAGTTTTTTTTTCATTTTTTACCCAAAAAAGGTTTATCTTCTCCTCATTCTTCCTCGGCGGTAACAGTCGAACGATTTCGACGAGGACGACGGTCAAACAGTAAGATTTTGACAAATTGAGTTTGGGATACAAATGATTCTCTAATGTTCTTAGTTATATCGATTTGGTTGAGGGATGGTGATGGTTCAGTTGCTTCTACATGTTAAGGATTTGGCAAACGAAAACAACGAACGAAACTTTCGGCGAGTCAAAGTTCCGGCAAGTTTTAGGGTTTCGTGTTGGTGCTTTGGACAAGAGGTATGTGGATTTTGGTTTTCTAGAAATTTTAAAACTCTAACCTCCAACATATTTTCTAGATTTGTATTGGAAATCGTGTTTACTTCCATTTGAACGACGATATTGACTATAGTGGCGTGAGAAACTGATAATGTATTGGGAATGTTTGTAAGAGTGGTGGTAGACTTGATAAAGTATAATGAATGGGACCTGAGGCCAATGCCTCAAATTTCCTTGGTTTTGTCTATTACTACTAAATACGCATATATTTATTGTTTTGTCTACATGTGTATTATAAATTGGGGTG